CAGTTCATTACTTATCCTAATACTCATTTGCAGGTGAACTTTCTTCTTGTAGGAACATTTTGAAAATATATAAATGGATGAATGAATGGATACGGCATATCAATGTAGACCACAACGATATTCGAAATCCGGGTTTTAGTATTGTCTAAACTAAGGGACAAGCTGTTAAACTGAGCCTGCAATTTTGTTAAAATAATATCACAATGCACATGCTTTTTACATAAAGTTATTAAATACAAATATAACAACATATTTGTTTACTTGATTTTTACGAATCAAAATAAAACTAATTAACACAACATGACATTAACTGCTAATAACAACAGCTCCTTCTATAGGCCAAAATAAAAAGCATTCCATAAGAGACGACGCCGCTCACCGGCGTCGCCAATAATTTTATTTAATATAATATCTATTGTTCCAGAACAGTAATTCATGATGATTTTCTGAAAAATCCTTATTCAAGACTGGATAGAAGGGAAACGGGAAGGGTTTTAATATAAACAAGTGCAAACGTCCTAAATTGCCGTGATTCTTTTGTAATTAGCCTGGCTTTGCCGGGGCTCTACCGAGATCAACCGCAGCACCATCGTCATCCTTCGGGACTCTGCCGGAATTTACCGGGGTTTTGCCCGGCATTCACCGGGGCTCTACCGTAGCTCTACCAGCTATATAATACCCCGGATCATCCCCGGTTTGTGCCGGCAGAGCTTCGTGATTCCCAGGTGTAACCCCGGTCGTTCCCGGCAGAGCTAAGGATAAAGCCGGCAAAGCTATATCTGCCCGGATCATCCCGGACCACCCCGGTGATATTTTATATTTTATTCCATCCGGGGTCGAATGCCCAGACGTCTAGGGCTCATAGGGACCATACGCCGCTTATCGTGGAATGGCACTATTGTGTCACATTGAAGGTTCCATGATAACCGCCGTATGAACACATCTGCGGATGTTTCTAAATTCAAAATTTCACCATTTTTGTGTTTAAATGTTGAATTCTGCTTAAGCCGGTGCTAGGGGGCGTGGACGGTAACTTGCACTATCCAGTACCGTCCATGAACAGGCTCAATCAAACCGAGCCTGCAACATTTTTAATTTTGCCGTGTTGGGCTTTCTTTAGGGATTCTGTTTTCTCTATTTTACTTGCCTTCTACAAACTTCAGCTTGCTTTCTACAAACTTCAGCTTGTTTTCTACAACAAAGATTGAATCAATACGTGTATATATAGCATAAATAATGATCTGATATCGATGTTTCAATATTGCCATTTGCAATACATTTTACTAAAATGACTAGTCCGCATGGCACAACGTCTGCGCGTTATTATAGGATCGTTAGCGTGTCAAAGTCAAGTAAAAATACAACGTGAGGAGTATCACTTGTGCCTGAAATAAAGCTGTGAAGGCACGTTTGACTATTGCATTGGCGGTGTCACTGCCTTTTTGGCAGTATGTCTGTCATGTGCAGGCTTCATTACTTTTTTATCCCTCTTTCTTAATTCGAATTTATTTTGTTTCACCCTCGTTTTACAATTTAGAGACACCCATTATTTATCTTTTGAACTATAAGCAGTCGTATTTTATGGAATGGCAGTTACATGTCATTGAGGTTCCGTGATAACCGCAGTATGAACACATCTACGGATGTTTTATATTAAAAATGTTATTTTTTCATGTGAACTTTTGATGCCTATATAGGCGTGAATAGTACCATATTTTCAATTATGTCATTTTGTACTTTCTTCAAGAGTTCTTTTCTCTGTTTATATTCCCTCCCATCCACATTAAAATATATTTGCACTCATTTATTTGGCATCAAACTTGCGACACTACTGGAATAAGATAATAATGTTGGGACATTGGACATAATAATCCCCAGTTGTGAAATAGTGCCGTAAATCATAGTTTCCCTACTTTATGTCTAATCGGAATATCTAAACAAGTATCAGCATTTCATAAAATGCTAGGAATCGTCGTTGAGACGGGTATTCGAATATTTTTTCGTGAAATAAGCACCTTCCTTCGTTAACAATATAGCTTATGTTTCTTCTTTTAACAGAAATATTCCATAAATGGTTTACCCCGTAGGATCCAAAACACTGATTTTTATCTTCGGACATAAAGAAAGTAGTTCATTCAACTCTGCATACAGGTAACAAGAAAAAACATATCGGACGGTGGGCATGCATGTTTGTCCGTCCGCCAACAAGGGCAAAAAAAAGCGGCTTTCACTGTCGAGTACGGGCCTCGGACATATCACCAGTTATGCCCTTAAAGAGTTAATTTTGAAGCACAAAATGGAAAAACATACTATTCTCAAATTTGATATTAGAAGATATTGATAACAGCTACACAGTCTCTTTGTCAAAATAAATTAAACACGTTTTGACTTGACACAAAGTATTTATGTTATGTTTAAGATTCTACACACTATAGGCGGTCCCAAAATGAATTTATACTGTCATTAAAAATAAAAATAAAAAACCCTGACTTTTTTAAAGGACCAACTTTACTTGGTCTGCAATAGGGAACGTAGCTTCCCATACATAATTTATTCATTTTTATTCAAATCAGGCATGTTTGGTAAGAAATTCATACATTTCTGTTGTTAAAATATTCTAAATTACCTGCAAGTTGCTCAGTATAGTATATTTTTGTCAGATATGTGAATACTAATTTGATCAACATGGTATAATTTTACTAAATACTAAATTTGTTGAGAATGATACATTTCTTACTAAAATCATTCATTTTCATTTGTATAATAATTATGATAATTTTTTACCAAAATATATAAATTTAATAAATATTAAACGTGACAGCCATGTTATGACAACAGTCTAAGACTACCAAGAACCAGAATATAAATCCAAGATAAGAAATAGAGTAGCCACGATGTGATTACATAGCATTTATGATAAAATAAAATATTTTAATCAATATGAGAAGAAAAACTCCAAGATATGTTATATTTTTTATTTTAAGTATGTTATATTTTTCATTTTAAGTATTTGTTTTTTAAATATGTACTTAAAATTTTAACCAGCTTAGTGTTTAAAATTATTTTATAAACAGTCGATGTACTATATTGATCAAAAGTTTGCCGATTTACCGAAGTAAATGTGTTTCGATTCATTTGAAAAACTGCAATCCTTTCTGACAAAAATAAAATAATTTTAAACAATAAGTCTAATTCTATCTATCAACGATTCAATACCCTATAACTGATGCCACTTATAATGTACGCCTAGAAGCACTTGCTTGCAGTTTCCATGAGATTATTGGGTTTACAGTTTCCATGAGATTATTGGGCTTGCAGTTTCCATGAGATAACTGGGCTTGTTGTTTCCATGATATTATTGGGCTTGTAGTTTCTACGAGATTATTGGGCTGGTAGCTTCCATGAGATTATTGGGCTTGCAGTTTCCATGAAATTATTGGGCTTGCAGTTTCTATGAGATTATTGGGCTTGCAGTTTCCGGCATATTATTGGGCTTGCAGTTTCCATGAGTTTATTTGGCTGGCAGTTTCCATGAGATTATTGGGCTTGCAGCTTCCATGAGCTTATTGGTATTAAAGTTTCTATGATATTATTGGACTTGCAGTTTTCATGAGATTATTGAGCTTGCAGTTTTAATGAAATTGTTGGGCTTGCAGTTTCCATGAGATTATTGGGCTGGCAGTTTCCATGAGATTATTGGGCTTGTAGCTTTCATGAGCTTATTGGTCTTGCCGCTTCCTTGAGATTATTGGGCTTGCAGTTTCCATGAGATTATAGGGCTTGCAGTTTCCATGAGATAAATGGGTTTGCAGTTTCCATGAGAGTTTTGGGTTTGCAGCTTCCATGAGATTATTGGGCTTGCAGCTTCCATGAGATTATTGGGCTTGCAGTTTCCATGAGATTATTGGGCTGACAGTTTACATCAAATTATTGGGTTTGCAGCTTCCATGAGATTATTGGGCTTGCAGCTTCCATGTGATTATTGGGCTTGCAGTTTCCATGAGATTATTGGGCTGGCAGTTTACATGAAATTATTGGGTTTGCAGTTTCCATGAGATTATTGGGCTGGCAGTTTACATGAAATTATTGGGCTTGCAGTTTCTATGAGATCATTATGATTGTGCCTGCAGTTTTAATTAAATCATTATGCTTACAGTGTTACTAGATCATTGTGCTTGCATTTAATATGTGATTATTGTGCTTGAAGTTTCACTTGACTTGTTTGGCTTGCAGTGTAAGTGGTATTGGTAACATGTCTGTATGTTCACTTCAGGCATTTTTAAATATTGACGATTTTTTGTATATTCCTTAGTACTGAAAGATTTTGTGTTCTTGGCAAAACGAAGATTATAATGTTAGTGGCTTCTTTATAAACTCCGTAGGGTTTTCATTTAATTAAAGAAAAGTTAATAAAACCCATTGAAAATAGTCAAAGTACCAGACTTATGTTCTATTGATATGTATTGTACATTTACGCAGCTCATTTATTTAAAATGAAATATTGTGAAGTGAATAAAGAAAATAATTAACACATTAAAAACAGCACTTGTAATCCACGTAAATTACAAAAAAGGGGTCAAAATAATAAAAAATGGCCCTTACTGCGTTAATAACGCAGTAAAAATATGGTGATAAATTCTGCAAAACAAGTGCTTAATCGTACACAACATGATAATTATTACTTGACTCTAAAATCTTTCTTATTTTTCTAAAAATCTTACATTTTTCTCAAGTGAAACTTTCTTGAAATAGTGTGGCTCAACTGGAGGCATGCAACTTTAATCAAAATTCATTGTTGGAAGATTAAAGGGGGAAATGCAACTTGTTTACAGATCACCAGACATAATATTTACCGTATCGTAAAATTGACGGGTATGAATAATAATTGACAGGTTTTAGACACAGTTCGCTACTTTTTTCACAACATAATTAGAGGACCAGTCAAAAACTGCGTCTGTCTGTCAATTATGTAAAAACACAGCCCAATTAAAATGTTTACATTATCAAAATAATCCATCCATCCTGATTTATTGTTTTATAGCATTGGTATACACTGTACGTGTATATAAGGGAATAAATCGAAAAAAAAGTACTTACTCTCATCACCCGATATTCGCATACTAGTACTTAGACAGGTAAGTTAAATTTTACTCTTTTTTTTTTCTTGTTTTTTTTTCTCCTCCTTCTTCTTCTTCTTCTTCTTTTCTATAGTTTGTATTGCAATTATTACGGTATTAATTATTGAAACATTAATGGAATTGCTGATAAGATAAAATATAATATGTAATATGTTATGTAATATTCAATGTTGTATAAAGAAAAGTTAGTAAAGAAAATTAAAGTGTAGCTCATGTGTAAATTTAAAGATTTATTATACACAGGCTTCATAATTAAAAAAATTTAGATATCTGCTGCGCAGTTTCATTGTTAAAGGCCCATAATGCATCAGAAATGCTATCAGTTTTATTTCTCAAAATCTTTATTTTTGGTATCTTGCCATGAAGATAAGATGGTACATTGTTTTTTGCATGACATAATGTGCCTTTAAGTATAGGTTAAAGTTTAACCAATTGAATTTATATTTATACGTACTAATGAATTTTAGCCTGCGTAGTGTTTCAAATTATTTTTTATAAACAGTCAATTTACTAGACTGGCTCACAATTGAATTAATTTAACGTACGTACAATGCTCTTTTTTTAAAGAAAAGACTTATTTGATATGATCTGTAATAGGGAATACAGCTTCCAATACATAACATGTTAATTATTCTAGTCAAATTTTCAGTAAGAATTCCTGAGATTCCAAGCAATTAAGCAATAAAATTATTTCATTCAAAGACGAGCATAGTATATCTTTAAGAATAACATTCATCACCAATGTCAAACATAAATATTTGCTATAAAAATATGTGTTATTTTACATACATTCTGATAATATAATGTGAAAAAAGTCCGGTTCTGTAACAAACATTTACGCGTATAAATTATCTCCCGCATTGCCATGCACTTACATTGATTTTTTGTTATGCAAATGGGTGTCGCTACGACATTGCAAAGATTTTAGATTTTATATAAATCGTTGATATGTCATTACCTAGATTGCACTACTAGACAATATTATCAGAATAATAACCATAACAAATAACTTACCATGCATTTCCTATTTTTCTTATTAAACTGTTAAGACAGCCCATTATCTTAAAACGTATTTATTCATGACGAGAACCGTCAAAATCCATAGTTAGATAAAACAAACAACCTAGTGTCGGCCATTTTTTAAAATTTTGTCTTCAATAGGCTCCCTATGAATGGTATTACTCCCTCAATTGTTGTTTAGGTAATAAAGTCACAAATGTTATATCTTCAAGCGTGACTTTACCTTTTTACTCAATATATTTTCAACGAACAAGACCAATACAAACTTGAGGGTTAATTCAGGCTCACACAATTTTAACGGACTCAGTTCGGGACTTTTATTTCAACAATGAAAAACATGTGGTTTTTTTACCGAGACACTTATCGGGGAAAAAAACATTGACGAAAGTTGAAGGTGACCCTTGACCGGGCACATGGAAATGCATAATTACCGTGATCTTATGGCATGAGTTCAAGTAATATTGAATATATGTGTATTGTTTGACAACAAATGTTTTATATAATATTTGCAGACGAGAAAAGATGAATACTACAGTAACTGTGTTTTCTGTCGTGGCCGTCCTCCTGTTTTGCCTTGCCGCAGACGGACATTACCTACGTAAGTTGTCAAACTTGATGCCTTTAGAATCAACAATATGTATGAAATAAAATGATAAATGTTTTATATGGCCATGTTTTCAAAATACAAATCACAAAAAGATAAGCTTTTTATCAATTGACCCATATGATATTAACTAATATTTCCTCGTACATGAAAGTCGCAATAAAACACCACGAATTAATAGGCATAATTAAATGTGTTACGGAGTAAAATATTTTGGCATGAAGCCTTGAACAAAAACTTTTAACTTATATTTTTTACATTTCAGCCGCACGTCACCACTGGTCACCATCATTTCATTATCCATCAGTTCATCGTATGAAGAATCACGGCTTTATTGGACACTCGGTCCCATTCTCCTCTTTCCAGACACACCCTTCCGCTTTCCAGACACACCCTTCCGCTTTCCAGACACACCCTTCCGCTATCCAGGCTCATGGACCAGCTTTCCAAGCACCTCAATCAAGACCAGCTTTCCCGGCCTCTGGATCTATTACTGGCCCGGGCGCTGATCAAGCTATCGATGTATTCACCAGTTTATTACTTTTGAGACAAGGTAGCACTGGTCTTGGTGCACTGGGTCTTCTACGAGCATTTTAAGGATACAATATCGACGTATTTATGTCCATACCTAAATGCAGCAAATGTTTATCAATTTAATATATATTTGATGAAAGATTTATCGATCGAATAAAAAATGCTAAAAACCATTTGAACGACGCGATGGAAAAGTTAGTTTGAAAATATTTTAGTTTAGATTGACAAAAACTAGGACAAAGTTGCATTATTTGTATCTTAATATATTGTTGTTTTTTGTCAATGTACTATTTATTAAAAAATAAATGTTAAATGAACAAAAAGAACGTTGTGTTGTTTTTGAAGAATTTTACAGACAAGACACAGACATGGTTATTTTATGAAAATGTTGGAAATGTACGGGTGAATATCAGACGTATTTCTACAAGTTATAGCAAAAATACATTTCAGAATTAGTATATACAGAATTTATTCAAGTTCGGGTGTGTAGGAAGCTGTAAGCCTAAAGATACACTCTCGCATCGGTATTTGGAACCAACTAGTACTCAGCAATGAGTGTAAAGTTTCTTACTCGAAGAAAGACCGACTTGCCCCTGAACACACTGTGTTAGAGATCCTGACGCCCCAGTTACATAAAGCCAATGGTAATTGATCGGTACTTTTTTCATCAAAATCGAACCGACGACAACGTATTAAAATCATATATCACCTACAGGTCAACTTTTTTCTCACCATCAACTAATATGTATGTAGTCTATGCTTTTTGAAAGTCAATTCGCAAACAAAAGGCAGATTTCGCTGTCGAGTACGGACCTTTGACACTACCACCATTCATGCCCTTAAAACTCAATTTTCAAGCAAAAATGAAGGCTATATCAATCATTGTGCTAATTAGACACTGTTGATTATTAAAACCATTTCGTGTAATAATCAAAGTACTGAAGTATATATAGATGGGCTGGCTATAATTAACTATTAGTTTTGTTGTGTTCTTAATAACTTCATGATAAAGTTCCATTACATTCTACAAGTTTATTATTACACCTAGGGACCGATGCATTGCTTACTTATAGTGATTAAGAGTGCCAATTTATTTTGAAACCCCATCATGTAATAAAGCGGAAGTTATTAACTAGACAAGGGTAACATTTAACGGTCCAAACCACCATTCTATAGCGGGTGCATAAAACAATGTTATCACTGATAAATTATAGATATTAAATAAGTCTGGACTTAATTAAATTTCTAAAAGTGTTGATTTAAATACTAAATTTTATTGGTTGAACAGACAGCTGTAATACCTTTATGGGACAAGACACTAGCTATGTTCGAGTCCGATGGAATCATACTCTCCCTGGAGAAAGGAGTTACACATGTCGCCTGCGTCTTTGTTAACATGGATTACGACTCGACCGCGACTTTGACAAATTCAGTAAGGTCTACGATTACATATATCATTCGGTTATCTGGGGGTGGGGCTCTTCGGCAAACAAGAACTCTATTCTTACCATTTTATAGCCAATTGACTAATAAAATCTCCAGACGTACATTTTTCCGGTTTGCATTTACATGTATTATTTATATGTGTTGAATAACGGAGCCAATCTTTCCTAAATCGATCATAAATCATTATGGAAATAATATAATTTTATTGCTTATAAATTTTATGATGCACAAGTTGTGTAATTTGTTTCATTAGTTTGTTGTTGTTGTTTTTTGTTTTTGTTTTTTTGTATGGTTTTTTTTTTGTATTTTTTTTTTCAATTTGTGTCTAAATGTAAATAACAAGGCATCACGTACCATCCCCTTTTGATGAGCGTCGTTTTATTATATTACAATCGATCAGAAAGAATAGACGCATATTTTACCTTACGGGTATGACTGTTAATTGACAGGTTTAGACAGGATGTACAGTTTTAACACACGTTTAAGTGATCATACTGGTCAAAACTGCGTTTGGTTGTCAAAATTTGCAAGCACATCCAAATAAAAATGTTTGCATTATCTAAATAATCGATCCATCCTTTTTATTCTTTTATAGCTGTATTGTTGTTGTTGTTGTTTTTTGTTGTTGTTTTTTGTTGTTGTAATTTTGATTGTGTAGATTGTGTTATTATCAAATGCAATCATGATACATGTATAGTCTGCAATTCAGTAAAAGTATGATAAAATAAACAACATTCTTGCCTAAAAACTGCGCACGTAGGTGTAAATTAACAGATTAACGTATAAAATAACGCAAGAACGAGCCGTTGTTGGCACCTTGTAAAATAGCTCACTGCAATGACGGCCCCAGAAATAACATCGCACTAGCACTTGTAAAACATGATGAAATTTGTGTTTATACTGAAAAATAAGTAACGAAACGTGGAATTACCGAATTAAAAATACACTTTTTGCAAGAATAATGCTTATAAATATTTTTGCATACCATGCGGGCTCTAGCATTGTGTCCATTGTGTTTCTGCAGATGTTTATGTACGAAAAAGGATGTATTAATCCATAGTGCTTGATAGTTTACAATAATTCACCAAAGGTTTTAAACTGATCAAAACTGTTGTACATGTATTTTGGTATAAAATCTCGCCCTGCTGGGATTGAGTTGTGATAAGCCTTTACCAAAAATCTAGAACCAGGTTCACCTGCAAATCCGTGCTGTCTGGTCAGGTTTTATACTGCTGGTATCTGATATTGAAATCCCCTCAACTTCAAATGAACTGTTCCTGATATAAAGTAAGGCAAATCCATTACACAATTAAACAAGTTCATTAAGGGTTCATTGTTTAAGCATAATGGGTAATATGATAGCTTTTCGAGTAGAATTTCAAAGTGGAACTCTATTTAACCGCATACAATAATTTGGGGTGCCCTTTACGATGAATGTCGAATAGAGCTGTCGATATGAAAATGATGATAAACGGAATCCCTAAAGAACGTCTAAAACGACAAAATTGAAAATGTTGCAGGTGATGGAAAGTGCAAGTTATCGTCCACGCTCCAAGCACCGGCTTAAGCAGTGTTCAACATTTCAAACTGTACAAAGAATAAAGACGGAACCTGTTTTGACGATATAAAGATAAGGAAAATAAAAGGGAGGCAATTCCCCGTGTGCTGTTTACTTATGCTCAGATGGTTCTCAGTATTGCCTTGGATTAAGTTAGAAGTTTTCTTCAGTCATTATAGTCACCTATAATAATATTAGTTGGACTCATTCATCTCAAAACAATAGGAGTTATCTGCTCGTTTATGTTGTTTTTTTTAAAACCTTCAAAGAAAATATATCATATTTTTATAGAATAAAATTTGAACAACAGACGGACAGACAAAAAACAATTTGAATAATTTGACAAGGGGTGTTTTTCAAATTTTGAGTGTTACACTTATTTTTTCCATGGATGGTCAATAGATTCATTAGTTGATCATTATATAAAGATCACATTATTCACCAACAGCCACATGGTAGAACTACTTCGAATCTGTATTGTTTCCGGGATGATTTTTGGTTATCGGCAAGGTGTTCCGAAAAAAAAAATCGATTACTAAAAGAATAGTTATTTTCCATTTGACTTCATTTAAGGTATAGTTGTTTCTCTTCAGTCTTCTAAAGCTGGATATTTCAATTAAAATACGGACCCTCTTGACAATGTACATAAATACAAGCCGCCTCATTTGTACTATTTGTAATATTTCTTAAAGTCGTCAAAACACCCTGTCACGTGACAAGAATGTACTAAAGTAGGTAGGTATATATTACAACTCAGCTTTGGCTTTATCACGATATTATCCGATAAACGGGCGATCAGTATCGATATTTACCTAGTAATTAAATTCCGTAATCCTTAATGCTATATAAGCCTACCTTCGGTGATTACATTAATGCTTTATTTTTTTCTACATACATAACACATGGTATTAAACAATAAGTGGTTTATTAATTGACCTTTTTTGTTAACTTCTAGATTACCGCATTTTAAAAGAGATTAATATATTGATTACACTACGTTTGTTTTCACATTTTCGTGTTACATAATAATGTGCCCGCCTTTAGAGAGTGATAAATGTATTTTTATGAATTTCCCGCTTATACATGTGCATTATTTGCAGAATTCGCAGTATGAAAGAAGATTAATTCGGCCTAGATTCCTAATCTAATATTTAACAAAGGATATTATTTAACCTTTTGTATCATAGTTTGGAGACCTTTCTGTTGAAAATGTGTCAGGGTTAAATCGTATACATATACATGCACAGTGCGTTAACTGGAGTGCGGGTATTAGTTACCCGCACTCCAGAGCATGCCCATTGATTGGCTCATTTTTGTTGGGGTTTACATATTGTGACGGCAGTGAAAGTGAAATCGACAGAAATGTCATATTTAGATGCTCGTTCATTGGTTCATTTTTGCCGGGGTTTCATATTGTAACAACAGGGAACGTGTTTTTATGTTTGACTATGATACAAAAGAGAAAGAACACCAAAACACTCGGTAATCTGATTAATACTCGGGGGCTATGCCCCCTCGTACAAATCAGATAACCTCGTGTTTCGGTGCTCTTTCTATTACTTACCACATGAGCATATTGTGAAAAATGTCCGTGTTCATTGAAAAGCCTCATGTTACAAGTTCAAACTGCTATGAAACTATGAAAAATGCTTCAATACTGATGAAACTTGGCACATATGTTGACTGGACCATAGCCTCTGTAACAGCATGCTGAATCGTAATTTTCCTGTTACCATGGCAACAGGGGGGACGTCTCAATATTGCGAAAAATCACTATTTTGCTTTGGTTTTTTATCAAAACTGATTTCAAAGTGCTGCAACTTCTCAATGGATTGAGATAGAGTAAAAGGCTTTTAAGCGTTGGTTACTAGTTACCCTTAGATCGACCCGATGCAATTGTTAGCTTGTCACATGTCCAAAATTTTCTTGGCGATGAGGGGGACTACCGCCCCCTTCAATCCCCACAAACAGAAGGGGGCACATCCCACTTCTGGCAACCTCTTGATGTACCATTTTGATGGGGGCCGCGTCCAAAATGCAATCACTTTTTTAACAACATTTCTCAAACAAAAACAGTGTTTGGGGCCTAAATAGGGCAATTTTTATAATGCTTGAGGCTTAAAAAAGGGGGGGGGGGTCAAAAAGCCGCCAAAACACGTCTATATGATGTAAAAGGTTAATATGAATCCGTAAGCGAAAACGTATATCTTTCTTTTTCATTTCTGCTACTAGGCACTATTGCACTATTGATCATCATCATTTCATTATCAATCAGTTAATCGGAAGCACCACGGCTTTACTTTCTAACCGGAACACCCCTTTTCTTCTCCGACACACCCTCTGCTGTCCAGACCAACCCTTCCGCTTTCCAGACACGCCCATCCGCTTTACACACCATGTTGCTTTTCATGCATGCCCGTCCACTGTTCATGCCCAGGGATCCGTGTTTCAGGGAACACTTGTACCAGAATCAAGACCGGCTCCTGGATCTTTAATTTGTGACAAAACTGGCCAGTCTCTTAGATAAATGGAGAGTCTCCTTCATACAGGTTGTCTCTTCTTAGAGCACTTTAGAGATAATAAAATCGGTTTCATTAGGTATCAAAATATCGCCAATGTGTATTAATTTCTATATCATAATATAGAAATTAATACATATTTGCCATATTTTGATATTTATTTATATTCGATGAAGAATACATACAAATTTCTGATGCACTAGTACGAAAAGGTTTGACTTTTATATGAGTGGGACCAATTTTCCCGACGCTCGTCAACGTTACCATAAATACTGTAGAATGTGCATTAATGCAAATGATGATTTTTTTCAACTGGATCATAAGCATATTTCTCCGAAGTAACAGTTTTGAATGTTATATCTAGATATGCTTGTAAAAAAAGTTATGAAACGTTTCCTGAGCCCCCGTAGTTCGGTTTATCGGATAAAACGAACATAATTCCTAACGTCATAAGTAAAATAGTTTTATAGTGGACAAGTAAAATTAGATAAAATGTATATGTTATATATAAGAATTTGGAATAGCTGTGATGATGCAGCATAATCATTTTATTTTGATTTTTTACAAGTGTGAATTTCCTTTGTTTATCAATGTATTATTTTTTTTTAAAATGACAATTCTGAAATGAGCAAACATGAGTTTTGTGTTTCTTGGTATAATTATGCTTTTTATAGACAATACATGAATTTGTTTTACTCAAGAATTCTTAATGATAGTTTTACGCTATGACCATAAATCCACATCTAAAAAATCCACATCTAAAAATCAGCGTCACATGTCTAGGTTCATTAAACATGTGTGATAACATTTTGTCACCACAATGCCGAGCTCATGACGTCTAGGTTCATCAAACATGTGTGGTATGGGTTAAAAGATAACATTTTGTATGGGTTAAAAGATAACATTTTGTCATCATAATGCCGACCTCATGATGTCTAGGTTCATCAAACATGTGTGGTATGGGTTAAAAGATAACATTTTGTCATCATAATGCCGACCTCATGATGTCTAGGTTCATCAAACATGTGTGGTATGGGTTAAAAGATAACATTTTGTCATCATAATGCCGAGCTCATGACGTCTAGGTTCATCAAACATGTGTGGTATGGGTTAAAAGATAACATTTTGTCATCATAATGCCGAGCTCATGACGTCTAGGTTCATCAAACATGTGTGGTATGGGTTAAAAGATAACATTTTGTCATCATAATGCCGAGCTCATGACGTCTAGGTTCATCAAACATGTGTGGTATGGGTTAAAAGATAACATTTTGTCATCATAATGCCGACCTCATGATGTCTAGGTTCATCAAACATGTGTGGTATGGGTTAAAAGATAACATTTTGTCATCATAATGCCGACCTCATGATGTCTAGGTTCATTAAACATGTGTGGTATGGGTTAAAAGATAACATTTTGTCATCATAATGCCGACCTCATGATGTCTAGGTTCATTTAACATGTGTGGTATGGGTTAAAAGATAACATTATGTCATCATAATGCCGAGCTCATGACGTGATCATTTAGTTCTAAGACAATAAATAATTTATCAAATTAGCAGCATAATCATGGTAGTTGAGAAAGTGAAACCCAATAAGTTGAACATATCTATTTTAACTTGATTGTGATAAAAGCTTATTGTTTATTTAAAACACCCTTGAACCTGCTGCCCGGGACTTACCAGTTTTGGTGTCACTTAAGGAAACATGGCATGGCTACATAAAATGTAGTAAGCAAATGATCTGAAAAGTTGCACACAAGTTATTGGTCTAGACCTTTATCAAATGGTACATCAATCTTGACAGAATATTTCCAGTCCCGTGATGTCAAAACACTTCTGTGGAGTTCATTTTAACATTTTACATACGTACGTCTGTAATAGACTGTATTATTCTTTTACCTGCTATTTTTGCAGCAAATATAAAACTTAATATTATACTTTTGTAGCTTTCTGGGACTTTGTATTTTGCTACGAGCAGCGTAAGAAAATTGATATCTCGCGAGACCGAAGGATGTGATGGATATCAAATTGAGTAGAAAAATGCCTGGCCTCAGAAAGATTCTACAACATAATTATCCTTTTATTACATACCTTCACGCTTTAAGACAAGTTTCAATATACTTAACCTTTATTCTATTAGTTATTTCAAGAAATAAAATTCACGAATGGCGGATGAATATGTACTTTTTGCAAAACAGACCACGCCTTCTTAAGTTTTGGTTCCAGTTTTCAAATGCTACCGAATTTACATTTCATGTAAATAAAGGGAGGTTATTAAAAATTTGTTTTCGATAAAGTCTAAGCCAAAATTTTTCAATAAGAAATGAATGCATATATTTAAATGATATAACATTCCACTTAAGTGTTGTTACATCCTTAATTACAACTTATAGGATCTTTAACTCTTATGTAGAGAAAAATCGTTTGCGTATTAATCGATTGTTGATTTATCAAGAGGCAAGCCGGTGTCATTTATGTAAATGAGAACATTTAAAAGACCTAGTATCGTATGGAGGGCGATCGTTGCCAAAATTCCAGACATGTAATGTGTTCCTTTTGAAAACTACTTTTGAAAATGCGAACATGTATGTCTAGCATTTTTTATTGCATTCGTGCACAGCAAATGATATGCCTCTTAATCCAATCTTTTAATTGAAGGCACCCGCTTTTAAATAACACGTTTACATGTAAATCTTAACAACTGACCTAACATGGAGAACAACAAGACATTTACAAGTTCGTATCTACCATTGCATATAATACATAAGCATGTTTACACACGTGTAGATATATATCTGTACCTGAAAAACACAAATGAAATGTAAAACTCGAATGCAGAAAATATAATTTAATTAAACGTGTTCCAGTCGTAGAACTACAACAGTACGTTTACACAGTTACATGTTTAAAATGACAAAAGTAGATTCACAAAGTTATACGATTCTAAGTCATGCATGACGCCCCGCCTCTCTCTGAGTATTTGCGATCTTCTATCACGGAAATGTACGGACAGGTAAAATACCCGTCGCCTCACTCCTATTTCTCAATAAAGTGAAGGAAAACACGGCGTCCATTCTAACTTTTTTATTTCTATAAAAAGTCCAATATTATTGGTATCAAATGAAAGATTACTCCATAAGCTTTCTATGAGTGCCTCGGAAATAAAAATGAATTAAATAGATGTATGGAATTTTTAGGTTTTTTTACTCTGAAAATAACACTCTCGAATTGGTAAGAAAAACACGGCGTTCCCTCCAAACTTTTTTTTAAGTTCGTAATATATTTTGATAATTTTGGATTGAAATAAAGTGTGCTTCATACGATTTATGATATATAATTATATAATGCCTAAAAATAAAAATGAATTAAATCAAACTGAATTAACTTTCGTTAAAAAGTTTATCATGTTACTTTTTGTAAAATAGAGAAAATAAGAATCCCTAATTAAAGAACGCTCAAAACGACAAAATTGAGAATGTTGCAGGCCCGGTTTGATTGAGCCTGCTCATGGACGGTAATGGAAAGAGCAAGTTATCGTCCACGCCCCCTAGCACCGGCTTAAGCAAAATTCAACATGAACTGGTACAATTTTGAAACATCCGCAGATGTGTTAATATGGCGATTATCATGGAACCTTCAATGTGACACGTAAGTGCCATACCATGAAAAACGGCATATGATCCCCAAGTAAAAAAAAACACACTCTGAACTTCAGTAAGAAAAAAAACATGGCGCCCCCTACTTACTTTTTTTATTTCTTGGTCAATTTTGATAATAAACAAGATAATCAAGGAAAGGCGGCGGAAAATTACATAAGAATTGCAGATTCGGTTTGATTGAGTCTGCACATGAGGGATAATGAATAAGTGACGATTATCATGGAACCTTCAATGTGACACGTAAGTGACACGCCCCTTAGCACCGGCTTGAACGGTACTCAATTCTCAACACTTAATAGCGCTGGCATCAATGATCTCGAAGGACCAGAAAAACACTGAAGTGAAGTACGGGGCAATTTTATCAACTGCCACACGGCACTTGGCACCTGCTGTTGTGAAGTATTAAAAACTGGAAACAAAATGATCCCTCGGAAGCATTAATCACTACAAAATTACATAAGAATTGCAGACTCGGTTTGATTGAGTCTGTACATGAGGTATAATGAACAAGTGCAAAAAGTTTTTATTCATACTGAAAATACCGTATTAAAGATTGTACATATGTGCTACGGATAAGTATTTTCTTGATTTCGGAAAGGAAATCTCGGTGGCCGCTTTAAAATCCTATTTTTGCAAATACTTGCATAGTTTTTGTTGAAAGTGAAATTTGTGCCAATACATTTTTCAATGATACCAATAAGAATATTGGATGTTTTTACATAATTAATAAAATTACTCCCTTGAAGTTGGTCATTGTTTCCCCTAAAAATTTCCAAATCGCCGATGTTTCTCAGGAATATATGATAAACAAGATCAACAAGGAAAGGCGGCGCTCAATGAACGCAACCCTACATGACCCAGCAACAAGAACAAGTGGCAAGAAGCCCAGGCGGACCCCAAACAAAACACAGGACAGGGCACTAGGCATAGCACGGACAGGCTAATCACTTAAATGATAAATAATTTGTAACTGATAAGAACACGATGTTAAATAATAAGGTAATGCACAAGTTATCTTCATCATAAATGGTAAAATCAGCAATTTTCAAGTGATGTTGCTAGTGACAAAACTTTTGTAACAAATGCAACATATATATGTTGTGAAAAATGCCGTATGTTGTCCTTCAGTTTTATTTAAAAATATTGGAGAGGCGCCGTTTTATACCTGTCCGCAATAGAAGGTCGTAAATACTCCGAGAGGGGCGGGACGTTATGCTTGACTTAAAATCGTTTAACTTTGTGGATCTACTTTTGTCATTTTAAACATGTTACTGTGTTAACGTACTTTTGTAGTTCTACAACTGGTAACACGTTTTCTTAAACTCTATTTTCCGTATTCGAGTTTTACATTTCATTTGTATATTACAGATCTATTAGTGTGCAAACATGCGTATGTATTGCATGCAATGGAAGATACGAACTTGTAAATTTGTTGTCGTTTTAGATGTTAGGTCAGTTGTTACGATATATATGTAAACTTGTTATATAAAGGCGGTAACCTTCAATTAAAAGATTGAATTAAGAGGCATACAATAAAAATGGTAGGCATACAAGTTCGCATTTTCAAAAGTAGTTTTCAAAAGGAACACATTACATGTCTGGAATTTTGGCAACGATCGCCCTCCATAGTATCGTGCCTTTAGAGGTCAAGTTTTATATTTAAAGTAGCCTATTATTGAAGTATGATTGACAACGTCACAGTTGATTTATTGTTCATAGTATAACTTAAACTTGTGTAACAGAATTTTATGAAGTAGAAATACAGTCGAGCAAGTTTTTTTACCTAACAGGAGTCAACATAAACTTTCAAAGTCAGCCATTAAAGATATTTATAATTTATTTTTTCATACAATCAACACATTTCCATTTTCTACAAACAAAATGTCAACAAACAGCAACTTTTCTGAATAGTCAAACACGCAATTTATTGTATTTTACATTTGTCTAGAATAGGACCAATTTCAAATCGAATGATCAGAACCAGTATTCAGATCTAAGAATATTAAGATTTCACCGGAACTGTTTACTCATATAACATAGTGTCACACATCTTGAAAATTTTGATAAAATAAAACATTTAAAAGAATAAGTGTTAACAAGAGACTACTAACTACTATGTTGGTTAACAATTATAATATCCGTACTTCATACTGACGAAACAGAGGAGCTATATCAGGCTCGTCTGCTGCCTCCACGTGAAGAAAATCCTGCAAATTTGCATCCTCTTCCGGTACGTCATCAATTATTTCTGACGTCACTTTTGTGCTAAACGTAACATCCTTAAGGCTATGTAACCAGTTGAACACTTTCAGATTCCTATGAGCACGGTTTAGAACTTGGCCTTTGTTCCATTGTTGCATGTCACTTTCCCGAATCTCGTGATATCTCGGGCGTCCCATTCGAACGCGTATATCGTCGTGTATGATTCCGCTGAGATTTGGTGATATCCGCATTCTCTGAATAATTCTTGGTTTGTTGCAGAAGTCCTCTTCAATATGTTTCGGATATTCTTCGTGTGTACCTACAACTTGGGCTTGTTCGTTTTCATCGCCAAAGCCGGTTACACGCTTTAATGCAGTCCGCGTACTCTCAATTTTTTGTTTCACTCTTTCAGTAAGCTCTTTTTTAAGATCTATTTCAAGAATCTCCCTATCGGCTTTCCATACTGTCACTTTCTCTTCTTGATTGTCGTCTAATTGAGAAAGTTTTTCTGACGGTGTTAAAAGCCGTTTTTCTGAACTATGACCGGATCCGACTGAATGCACATTTGAAACTTCCGTTCCAACATATGTTGTTGAAGGGGACGTGGGTCTTGTAGATGAAGCAGAGGATGCATTTTTATACGATGAAACACGAGAAATTCGTCGTCCTTTTCGTGTTCGTTCTTTCTCTTGTAATGCTTTAGCCTGCATTGTAGCGAGTAAACGATTCATTCTTTCTCGCTTTAGTTCGGCAATATCTATAGGCGCACCCCAAGGCTTGTCAGCATCTAACGATAATGTACGTTTAAAAACAGTTGGCTTGTCTGCTAGTATATTGCCTAATTTTGTCAAACTACCACTTCTTTCGAGAGTTGATTTATTGACGTACCTTATCCCTCGTTTATATCCGCATTGAAGAAGCCCATCTTGTTCGTCTTTGTCCAGCATTCGAAATGCTTCGGATTCGTCGTCATTATTCACTCCAGCAATCAATCCGAATTGGTTTGCTAAAACTGAGCTGTTTTTAAATAGTCTATTTATATTACCTGATTTCATATTGCTTAAACGTTCCCATTTTGACACAAACGGTTCGTCATCCGGCACTGCAGACGAGGCTCTTGAATTATTTTTACGTTTCTTTTGTCGTTTAAGTTTAGAATTATCTATTTCTATAACAGGTGTTTCTAGTGACGAGCAAGTCAAAAGTGACAAATTCGTATGTATGGAATCGTCACTTGGAATACGTCTTAGTTTCGTTGCTTTCGACTTTTTGTCTCTCAATGTTTTATTAGTTTTTTCCTTCTTGGTTACGTTATTCGTTCTTTTCGGACATCTTTCAATACCAAGTTTTCCGCTGAACAAAGGTTCTGCGGGTGGTTTCTCCAATGGTTCAACATGACTCCATGTGTGGTCGATCATCCATGTCTGCAAAGACCTTGACAATCGACCTTCATCTGTTTCAGCCGATGATTCAATTTCATCAAATTCATCAGAGTCGTCAGAATGCACGCTCATATCAATTCGAACGCTTGCGCTTCCCTGACGAGTCGGTGGTATCGGGCTGTTAAACATCACATCAGCAAGTTCATTCAAAGGATGGTCAGGTCTCATGTTGAAGACCTTTTTACAGCGCACTATTTACTATAGCACCGGAACTATTTTTATGAAATAAATACACATTTACTCCGGTATTTCAACTAAACACTGTCCATCATTATTAATTCTTTACTATTTTCCCTACTATTGAAGATGATGATTCGAATAGCTTTTTCTCATTTATTGAGTTAACCGTTATGTTGAAATAATTGTCAAGCTACGTGTACATAGTAATTCCATTATTCAAATAATCTTTTGTTTCGCCCCCCGTTGGGTATTGAATCATATTCCGTTAAATGCAAATAAAACTTTTGTTTCGCGTTTCAGGTATGCATTGAAAATCGGTGTTCCGTGTTATTGTATAAAGAGTGTTTATATAAAATTGCTAATAAAAAGTATTGATGAATTGGAAACACTAAAATCCCTATAAACCAGCCAATATCACCCGGACAAGAATTTTAGAAAATAAAATCCGCACAAATAGCATATTTAAGACAAGTTTGAATGTTAGCAAGTTCGATTTGATTTATCAAACTGGTACTCAGACAGGGCAAAACCATTAACGTCTGAAATATTCTAGTTCCGTTCAAATCACTATGCAGATTATCATAAAGAAAACAAATGTTTAAAACTTTAGCACCTTAATCCCGACAAAGTTGTTCAACATTTTCTTTTATAGCTCGAGTCACTTTTGAAATTCTGCACTGTTTGTTCTTTGATTACACATTCCTTAATCTGAAATCGATTGAAATGCTTCTTTTAAAATATCACTGACCGCTAATTGAAAAGATCACTTGTTTGCCCTCCGTTTAATACCAAATATCCACATTGTAAATCACACTATTAAGATCAAATGACAACATGCGCTGGTTTACTTTTCATTTAAATCTACGGACGTAAAATATTTTATGACCGGCTATTTTAAATGCAAAAGTATATATGATTATATATTCGATCAATTTACACCACACTGGCAAAAGCGTAGGCAATTCGCTCTCTTATCCATGTCAAAGATTTAATATCTTTTAACACATTACTCTTAACCTCTTTAATATATATCCGCATTAATTAACATTTTCATTTGGAACGTTAGCATGTCAGAAGTTTTATTTTGTTAAAATTTAATGCGCGTTGCAGCAAAGCAAATCCCTATTTGTACTTTAAACAGATATAAAAAGAACATAATCTAGTGAGAAATTTTACACACGTCCCCCACTTGTGCTAGATTTATTAACTGATAAGTTTTTCTTCTTTTTTTATTTGTATACATTTCATTTCGCGATTCACCTGAACACCTTTATTAAATACTGAGTGATTAAAGTATTTTATATATCTGTCACATACTAGATCTAAGGCTCGATTTAATCCAAATATATAACCGGAAGTGAAAATAAAACGTTGTCATTTTTTTAAACAGTGAACTTAATTTTTTTTATCATTTAGGACAAGATTTTTTGAATTCGAATTTAACACGGGCGTCGAACTCTAAATTTTAACTGAAACCGGGCGCTGTGGCATTTAACGCTGCAATAAGTACGCCCATGTCACGTGTACAACTAGTAAAGTGCCCTGAGAGCCTGGTTGTTCACACTTACTGGTATTCTGCTGCCAGCGTCTTATAAATATAATATCGAACGTTTTTGTCTTCAAAAAGAAAAGACTGTTGACAAAGTTACAGAAGGAAAACATCTTTGAATTAGATGTGCGGGGTATGTTTTTTTCTTCGCTATCGGAAATTTGAATATCATTGTTTGGACATAAATATTCACATGTCTATATGTGAATTTCCCAGCGCGAGCACCGTACGAAGAACCACTGACTACCAGCAAACGTACGTGATACAGATACAGTTGACAGTTTTAACTAATCAGCTATTGAGGTCTGCTTTATGGAGGTTGGTTACATAATTATGTTTAAATATTTTGTAAATTCGTAATTTCCGGGCGTTTTTATAGTTTTTATATATTGACTTTGACTGACATGCCCTTGACGACGAATAGTTTTATATGAAGGAACTGACGATACCACAGGTGGTATAACTTGGTTTTAACTTTGGTGTAAGGACTATCCCATTGCCGCGCTCTACAAACCCTAATAAAGGGTTATTTAAAAAATTTCTCCTTATTTCGAAATTTATCTAGATACTTGATGAAATATCGTAGATCGATGAATCGCGACTGAGGTCAAAATATGTCTTGTTCTAAAAATCCAATCGTATGGTTTAATGAGATTAAATGTTCTTTTTGTTTACGTACGTAAGTTCCCTGACGGAATGATAAAGAGCTTGAAGTTTAGGATCAACAATAATTTGTTTATTACTAGATTATATACGTTACAGAATTAATACATTAGCAATAGCTAATCAACTAACCCTATTATGCGTATAAGGCTATTACAAAGTTATAAGTCTCAACAAAATAGAACAACGCAGAGATCGGATTAGTTTTTTAATCATTTCCTTTACCATTCCCACAAATTATATCACAGTCATACGACAGACCGGAGGCGACATTTCAAGTTCATGAATTCACAATTTCACATACAGAATTCATAATTTCAACTTACGATTTAAATTTCATGAATTCACGGTTTCAACATCATGAATTCACGATTTAAACTTCTCATTAAACCGTACTTTGTGAAGTTGAAATCCATGAATTCATTTAGTTATATTCACGAAGAATAAATCGGGAATTCAGGAAGTTGAAATGTCCCCATCGATCTTTCGTACAGTGATGATGATCCAGCTGTATCAACCACTCCCGATAGTGACCTGTATGTTGTAGATTTATTTGGATTACACCAATAATAAGTACATTTACCTACGTCATCGTATTAAGGGAATGGAATAATAAAACAAATAATGAAGAGCTTGTCCCTTGTTGTTATTGTGTGTTCTAAGCTTAATGAGGGTTCACCCGCCCTTCAGACACTGAGAGTACGGACCCAATATATGATTGTTATATGGTTTATCGTAAATATTTGTTAAAATAATTCGTGTAAAAAGTAAACATGAACCCAATCTTTCATTAGAAAGTGCAAAAATAGACAAAGAACGTACAAAGAATTGGTACTGTGAAAACTAAACAAGATTTCATACTAGAAACAAACAAGGTCCACTAAATTCCTACTAGCAAAGGAACATGTAAGCAAAGGTGGTATGTATTATGTCATAAAGAAGATACTCGTATTAACGGTCCATGAAAATGATCTCAAAAATATTGATCTAATCTGTAGATCACTATACTATCGTACCTGACAAAACTATTGTAGATGGAATGGAAGCTACGTTCCAGAAATCCGAAGAATCAATGTTATTTTTATAATGAAATGTGGCGAAGTCAAATCATAAATTTATCAATTTATCCTGGAACTAACAACACAATTAATCTTGTTCCATCAATGAATGACTATTAAGATATTGTGCGATTCATTATGTTTATTCAAAAAGACAATATACCTATATTAATCGACATTCAGAGAGGATTGTCTCAAACAACAACACATATATTTTACAGTGCTTTAGTATAAATCTTAAATCTATTTGATATACGCTTTAAAGATCGTATTAAAACTATTTCTCCCCGATGTATTTACTTACGAAATGCCAGAAATTTAAGTATTTATCTGTTGACCGATGGTACAAACGGTGATTTGCCTATATTAAATAAATAAAATGAATACATATAAAGTTAAACAGATTAACTTTCTGTTCCGTCGTTTCGGTTAATTTCTTTTATTTGCATTGTTACACTAGACCCAATTTACACTCACTTGATGATTAATAATTAAACTATCAACTATAAAATTATAGAAAGTTTATGGCGCTGGAGACTGATTTTGTAGGAGAAATGTAGTAGAAGTTCATTCCCAATTCCCAGTTAGTTTAAGGTGAAAAGTAGAAAATTATATCAAAGAGCTTTTAACAAAAACACAAAAGACGCCTCGATTTTTCCCTTCTATTAACGACTCTCTACATAGTGTGCAAAAATTCGAAAATGTTTTCATACATTCACATACCATACATTCACATACAACTGTTTACATAGAAACAACGGATATATTTCTTTACAAAATACACGAATAAATACATTTTTCGCATACATCGCAAATAACTATTCTTTACAATTAACACATATAACTCTTCTTTACAATTAACACATGTAACAAGTATTTACAATTAACACATATAACTATTCTTTACAATTAACACATACAACAATTCTTTACAATTAGCACAAATAACTATTCTTTACAATTAACACATATAACATTTTTTTACAATTAACACATATAACTTTTATTTACAATTAACACATATAACTCTTCTTTACAATAAACACATATAACAATTCTTTACAATTAACACATATAACTTTTATTTACAATTAACACATATAACTCTTCTTTACAATAAACACATATAACAAGTATTTACAATTAACACATGTAACTATTCTTTACAATTAACACATACAACTATTCTTTACAATAAACACATATAACAATTCTTTACAATTAGCACAAATAACTATTCTTTACAATTAACACATATAACATTTTTTTACAATTAACACATATAACTATTCTTTACAATAAACACATATACATGTACAATTTACACAAATGTATGACAGTGTATCTTAAAACAACGTGTGACACTTATTTGAAGTATTTTGTAAATCTTACATATCTATATAAATAATGTAATTTATTAGAATAAACTTGTTAAAGTTGTTGTTTATTCAATGAGATTTAAATAAATGTCTACCATATGATTTAATACATATGTATGTGGTGATTAAATCTGTGAGAAACGATTTCAAGATAAACTCTCATAACATCGAGGGTGTGAAAATAAACATTAAACATACTCAACAGTGGAGGGTTTAAGAATTTATTTAGGTATAAACAGCTTAGTCGACGCATATATACATCACCTTATTGAAAAATCGAATGCAATAATCAAAATAAATTACAGCCCAGCCAAATAATGGTTGTTAGATATTTATTTAGAGTAGCATGCTGATAATACTGTTTAAACAGTTGTTTTGGGGAAAAATGATAAAAAAATGACACTTCAAGTTATTTCTTTTTCCGTTCCGTGTGAAAATATATATTAATGTTAGTTATACAAATTGCGGGAGAATATAGCCTGAAAGTGATTCAATGCGCTAGCGTATTTAAAATCGCAAAATGTTACTGACGACAAGTTCAAAAGAAAACTCAACACTTTTACATTTTTGTGCCCCCACGTTAGTGGCGGGCATTTAGATTTACCCTTGTCCGTCCGTCCGTCCGTCCGTCCTTCCGTCCGTCCGTCCGTCCGTTCACTTTTGTTGTAATATTTTTAGTATTTTCAGAGTTATTGCCCTTGACTTAGTAAAATTTTGCAATTTTCAACTTGTGTCGCACGTAACTCAGAAAGTATTTGACCTAGAGTCATGAAACTTTACAGGAATGTTGATCAGCATGTGTAGTTGTGCACCTGGGTATTTTCATCTGGATATTTTTAGTATTTTCAGAGTTATTGCCCTTGATTTAGTAAAATTTTGCAATTTTCAACTTGTGTCGCATGTACTCAAAAAGTATTTGACCTAGAGTCATGAAACTTTACAGGAATGTTGATCAGCATGTGTAGTTGTGCACCTGGGTATTTTCGTGTGGATATTCTTAGTATTTTCAGAGTTATTGCCCTTGACTTAGAAAAATTTTGCAATTTTCAACTTGTGTCGCACGTAACTCAAAAAGTATTTGACCTAGAGTCATGAAACTTTACAGGAATGTTGATCAGCATGTGTAGTTGTGCACCTGGGTATTTTCGTCTGGATATTTTTAGTATTTTCAGAGTTATTGCCCTTGAGTTAGTAAAATTTGGCAATTTTCAACATGTGTCGCACGTAACTCAAAAAGTATTTGACCTAGAGTCATGAAACTTTACAGGAATATTGATCAGCATGTGCAGTTGTGCACCAGGTATTTTCGTCTGGATTTATTAAGTATTTTTAGAGTTATTGCCCTTCACTTAGAAAATTTTTGCAATTTTCAACTTAAGTCGCAAGTTTCTCAAAAAGGATTTGACATAGTTATTAAATCTTATGGGCAGGTTGCTCAGCATATTTTAGATTTGCACCTGGGGTTTCGCTTGTGGATTTATCCAGTATTTGTAGAGTTATTTCCCTTGACTTAGTAAAAAGATTGACAGAACAGTGGC